TCTCTCTCTCTCTCTCTCTCCTCACTTCAAAGAGACGCGCGGCGCGCTGTTTCTTCTCTCTCACTAGATGCTTATGAGAGCCTCCGCGACTGCGCTCCGCTCTCCGCTCTCCGCTCTCCGCTCGGCTCTGAGAGCGGGGTGGTTCCCTCTCTGCAGCACAGACAGACAGACAGACACACACAAAAGTACAAAAGTGCACTTCTCTCTTTCTGCCGGTGCGCCTTCTTGTCCTCGCGTCCCAACTTCGCCTTCTGCTGGAACTTCGACACCAGGACCTCAAACAACAGCCCTCCCACGCTTCAGCCCTTGGTCGAAGCCCCGAAGAGCCGCTCTCCAGGGCAAGCACAGGAAGGGGAACCCCGCAAAATGCGAGGTGAACACGGATCAGAAGCTCCTAATATTTGACTCGTGCTGCAAGCATCCCCTGTACCGGCTCATGGCAAGCCGGACTCATGCACACTGCATCGGCTGCAAGCAAGCCCCTGGCTCACCAAACTGCCCTCAGTTGTCCGAGTTGCTGCCCCTCTATCTGCCAGTTGAGAACCTTGCGATTCTTGCGATGTTGCGGTTTGCTGGTGGTCCCTTCTCCCATCTTTTCAGCCTCTCCCCCCGTCATCGCCTCCCAAACACCACGGACCACGCCCCGCCCCCCCGCACAAGTCTCTCATCGCCGGGCGCCGGGCCGTCCTGGCCTTCGGCTTCGGCGGCACCTCGGGCTCGGGGAGTCGCCGACCCGACAGCAACTTGTCTCTCTCACACCGAGACGCGCGGACTGGCTGCCCGGCCTCTTCTCTCTCTGAGGCTCCGCAGGACACCCTGGCCTCCTCCACCATAAGGCCATAAGGACCGCACGGGAGCAGCACACTTTTCGCTGCGTGACTTTGGGTTTTGGGATCCTGAAGGCCCCTGAACTCCAGAGCATGCGCCAACACTTGTCCTTGCTGGCTGGTGGTTTGCCCCGGCCAACCTCCGAGAAGACAAGTGCAGACCGCACCCCAGCCCAGCAATACTGCCCCGGGATCTGTTGCTGAACCCGTCCAAGCCTCCGCAGAAACCGACGCCGCTGAGACTGCAGAGGCCTGCAAGCGCGAGAGATGCTGTGACAGCTGGCTGTCACACCATTGCGTCTCACAGGCCTCCCGCGAAGGCTCCTCAACCTGGCATGCCGACGCATGTTCTGCTTGGGAGGCGAGGAGCGCGCGGGCCTCTGTCCGTGCGTCTGAGGCCATCGAAGCTGCGGATGCTGCCGACGCCTCCCTGGTCAGCGCCTTAGATTCCTGCATTGCAGCTCAACTGGGAGGTCCGTTTGGTCTTCAAGTGAGGTCAGCATGTCAGTAGCTCGAGAGCTTGTTGCTGACTTTTGCACAAGGACAGTTGGAGGTTTACGATAGTGGCTAAAGGTTGAGTCGCTGGATGACCGCACAACAGCGGGTCGTTTTGTACGCACGATTGGGAGCTTTGGGTTTACGTCGGATCATTTCCCTCACCCAAGCACATGCGCCAACACTTGTCCTTGCTGGCTGGTGGTTTGCCCCGGCCAACCTCCGAGAAGACAATAAGTGCAGACCGCACCCCAGCCCAGCAATACTGCCCCGGGATCTGTTGCTGAACCCGTCCAAGCCTCCGCAGAAACCGACGCCGCTGAGACTGCAGAGGCCTGCAAGCGCGAAAGATGCTGTGACAGCTGGCTGTCACACCATTGCGTCTCACAGGCCTCCCGCGAAGGCTCCTCAACCTGGCATGCCGACGCATGTTCTGCTTGGGAGGCGAGGAGCGCGCGGGCCTCTGTCCGTGCGTCTGAGGCCATCGAAGCTGCGGATGCTGCCGACGCCTCCCTGGTCAGCGCCTCCAAAAAGGCATCGCTGGAGCCCACAGCGACGCAATCTCAAGACGAGGTTGGACTGCAGGATCAAACGCAGTTCTTCTCTCGAAAGAGCCCAAAGTGTAAACACCCGGCAAACCTTCTCTCTGCGGCGGCGCCGCGTGGATCCCGAGCGCTTCCTTTCGCCCTGGCACGTCGAGGGAGCACAGCACAGCGCAGGGCAGGGGGCAGATCCCAGAATCCCAGAGGCGAGGAGCGGTCCCTGCGTGCGCCCGCCTCCGCCTCCGGTTCCGTTTGAACCCGGTCGGGAACCTCTCTTCGCAGCCGCAGACAAGCGAGACAAGCGCCCGCAGCGGCCCCCTCTCTGCAGCTCTCGCTCTCCTTCTTCCGTCGAGAGGTCGAGCGAGTCGTGCGCTTGGCCTGCGGAGCGACACGAAGACACGCAGCCGGCGCGGGCGCCCCCTTGCCGGAGGCGCGGGCCTTGCACTCCGCTTCGGCCGGTGCCGCGGCGGCCTCCGTTTCGGAAGCCTGAAAAGAGCGAGCGCTCTCCATTTGGTCGCAATGTTGGGCTCTTCCGCTGGCATCCCCTGCGCCCCTGGCCTTGGAAGAGCTCGAGGAGAGAGGGCCTCCCGTCTCGGCCGTCTCGGCCGTCTCGGCCGTAGCTCCGCTTCTCCGAGACGAGGAGCGCTCCGGCCGAGCGGAGCCGCGAGCGGAGCGAGCGGAGCGAGCCGACCGGGCCGAGGGAAGCGGCAAAGCCTGCCACTGCCAAGTGCGCTTCTTCTTTTTAAGAAGACGTCCCCCCTCCCGCCCAAGCTCCAAGCTTTCAGAGAACTTCGTATAAGAGAGAACTAGAACTCTGCTCTCTCTCAGCACCTCCGGCCCTGGCGCTTCTTCCACGTTCGGGGCCGGGGCTCCATGTGGCACCTCTCCCACGGCCTCTCGTCAACTCCGAAGTGGCACTGAAAAATGGAGACCCTTCCTTGCCAATCCCCGCTTCTTTTCTTGCGCCCGCCCCCCCGCCCCCCCGCGCGCCTTCTTCGGGCGCCGGTGGGAGCTCCTGGGCGCCGCGGCGGAGACAGCCTCAGCGAGGCAACTAGGTCGTACGAGTAACTAGGTAACTAGATAGAGAGCACCCCCCGGAATGAAGAAGCCTGCACGACCGGCGATCCAACAAAGAGCTTTGAATCCCTGTAGCTGAGCCTGCGCTTGAGCCGGCTCCTTTTGGTCCTCGACCTCTCAGGAAAGAGCCAAGGGCCCCCCAAACTTCCCCCACCCTTTCTCTCTCTCTCTCTCTCTCTTTCTCTCGGCCTTCTGCAAGGTGATTTCCTTGGGGCAGAGGCCCAAAAAGTCCGCCGCCTCCTTGAAAGCGTCACTCGTGGGACGTGAACCGCAAGGGGCGAGTGAACTGAAGGGCGTCCCAACAAAGCTCCCCCTACGCTCCTTCTTGGAGCTCTTCCGGCTCCCTCGTCCGCCGCGCTGCGCGGCGGCGCTCTCCTCCGGATGCAGAATCTTCTCGACTCTGCATCTTTTAATTTCACGGGGTTCTGAGAAGTGAAAAAGTCAGAGCTTTGCTTCCCTTTGACCGTTTCTTCGGAGCCACACGAAACCCAGACCTTCAACTCTGAGATGCTCACGATAAGCACACCCTGCCTTCCAGCATTGCTAAGACAAAAAACGGAAACAGATTCGTCCATGTGACTACATGGCCCAAGCACGAGGGAGGCATTGAGAGCACTGGATCTCCTGAATCGGAAGACGATGGCATGGCTTGACAAAAGCAACATTTGCGTGAACACACAGAAAGTGGATCCGTGCTGATCAGAAAACGTTCCGTTACTCCTCTCGGAAAAGACCGCGTGACCCGAGCCTTCCCAGCTCCAAACCTCGGAACCTCTGCTTTTCTTCTGCTTTTCTTCTGCTTCTTCTCCTCTTCCTCTCCTCTTGAGGTTTGTGGAGGCTCTCTGTCACTGGCCTGCGCCTTCGAGGCAGTGGAAACCACGGAGGGTGCCGAAGGCTCTGGCTCCGGCTGGCCCATGGAACCGTCCTGCGCCAGAGAACGAACGAACCGCGGGAGTCTCGGAGTGGCTTATCGTTTCGGCAGGAAAAAAAAGGACTCTTGGATTCTGGATGGGGGCGAGTCGTTTGACGATACCCTGCCCGGAACAGCTCAGACGTATCGGGTCGAGAAAAACACGTAGGCTAAGCCTGCTTGCCGAGAAAAAGCGAGAGAGGCGATGTCAGGATCTCTGGTCAACGCCACGATGCAACTGTCCAACATTTACAAAACAAGCGCGAGCAGTCGAATGAGGAAGCATTTTGGAGAGCTCGCAGTTTGTGCAGCAAGACATATGGCCCCAACATGAACGAACCGAAACCAACTTCAGACGCTCTACAGCCGAATCAGGATACCGACGCCGAGCTTTGTAAAACCGGTCCTTTTTGCCTCGTGATCGACCACCCTTCCGTCCTCGGTCCTGCTTGCCCCTCTGCACTTCGAGCTTTCCCAATGGACGGTCCATCAGTCATCATCATTCATCATTCATCATCATCATCATCATCATCATCATCAACAGAGTTGGGGCATGAAAGAAGTATGGATGATACGGACGATCCACGATGCCCGGCGCACTTCCGGCTCCCCACATTCGGATCTTAGGAAGTGGACGTATCGGCACCAGCACTTGAAGATGTTGGGGGGCAGCCGCTCGTGACCCAAGCCCGGATGTCTCTCCGCAGTTGCAGAGCTTTTCATGGTGCTTGACCGTATCTTTGTCCCGGTATAGTCGGCAGGCCAAGCGCGGACCTCGCGAAGATCCAATTCCCGGCGGAATATATCCTACAGCTCGTGGTGGGTACGATGTCATGAGATCGGCACGCAGAGGCGAAAGATGCGAGGCGGTGAAAGGATGCGGGGCCAAGCTGGATCTGCACCAGGCCCAGAGCGAAGCGGCGCGCCGGAACTCGGCAATCAAGTCTTCGACCGTCGACAAAGAAAGCATGTCGGGAGGGAGGCCGAGGGCCGCGAGGGCCAAGGGACTGCAGTGACTGCGGATTTTTCCCATCCAAAGGATCACGGCCAAAGGCCCGCGCGCAAGAGCTCCTCCGCTTCTGCCCCGCGAACTCGCATCCCCTGTTCTCTTCTCTTCGGTGACCCAGTTCTTCAGGAAGTGGGCCACTTCGGTATTCTCTTAGCGAATCCGCACACACCACTGTAAAGCCAGGCAGAACACGTGCGCTCAGGAGTGTAGCCACGGGAGCCAAACAGAATCATCAGCGCAACGCCCGCTCGCGCGCGAATCGCAGGAGTGACTATAGCCTGACATTCGAGCATGCCGGTAAGCAAAGTCGGGTTGCTGCAGGCCAGGAGACATTAGGGAAATCCAAGGCCGAACCCAACACAAACAATCTGAACATAACTTTGCAGCCTCTGAGAGGATATGCTCTCCAACAACTTTTGGGGGGAGGAGTTCCACGCAAGAGCAGTTCAACTTGTCAGAAAGCTCCGACATGAATTGGTCGCTGCAGTGGAGGCCGAGGCCGAGGTGGTCGTCGCGCCTGCAGAGGCACTTTCTTGGCCTGCAGCCACTCCAAGTCCTGCTCAGGGAGGAGGGAAGGGGAGGACAGGGAGGACAGCGGCAGCCCCACGCCCCGCCCCACGCCCTGCACCCCAACCGCCTCCTTGCAGAGCGAGGCCTCCTTCTCCTTCGAGCAACGCCGAAACCGGTAAGCGCCGGAACCCTTTCAGAAGGGTTCTACTCCCTCTTCCCCTCGCGCCTTCTTCCGCTGGGACGTCGATCGCTTCACCTGAGTGCAGCTTTCCAAAACGAGCGGGGCGCGCTTCGGCGCTTCGGGCCGGGCCGGGGCGGGGGCCTCTGTGCCGGCCTCGACCTGTTCGCCAGTTGGAGAGGAGAGCTCTGGCTCTCAGATGCTGCAGAAGGGCCAGGGGCCTTCTTCGTGCGGCGCCTGGATCTCGCCTCCCAACACAAGCGCAAAGCAAAGCGCTTATAAGATTCGGCGTTGCTATGCGTTGCTCTCCGCTCGCTCTCCGCTCGCCTTGTCTTCGGGTGCCTCCAAAAAGAGCGACTAAGAGGGGGAGAGAGGACGGTCGCACTCCGTGTCATCCGCGGGCCGCGCCTCGCGGCCATGGCCCACTTCCTCGTTATCACAGCACTGCTCAAGAAAAGACGCGAGGGCAGCTCGGCAGCTCTCTTCGACTTCCGGGCCGAGCCGCGATCACCGTGGAGGGCAGGTTCTGCACCGCCGCCGAGGCCGCCGAGGCCGCCGAGGCCGGCGAGGCCGCGTCCGAGGCCGCAGAAACCGAGGCCGCGTCCGCGGACACCGAGGCGGAGACGGAGATCGCCGACACCCCGGAAACCGACAGCGAGGAGTCCTCCTTGGCCACTTTGCTCACGTTGCTCACGTTGCTCGCGTTGCTCGCGTTTCCGGCAGTGCTGTTCGCACGCACCTCGGGCAGCGAGAAAGAGAGAGAAAGAGAGAGAGAGAGAGATGGACGTCTGGTGCCAGAATGTGCGATGCATGGATGGCTTTTCTCTCTCTGAGGCTGCAGCGTAGTGGGGCCGGCTTTGGGCCAGCGGGGCTGCCTTGGCCTTCCCGGAGCCCACGGGCACCCCGTCGCCGCACGAAGCCTCGAAGAGCCATCCGTGCGTCTGCGCGCGTCTGCCCGCGTCTGCGTGCCGAGTCTCTCTCTCTCTCTTTCTCTCTCCCGCTCTCTCTCTGCAATGCCCTGAATGCCTTGAAAAGGCCTATGCTCGCCTCGCCCTCGCCCTTCCCGCACGCCTCCTCGCAGAGCGCCTCCTCAGCGGGGCTTTCTCTGTCCGGGGCTTGCGCCGCTTGCGCAAGCGGCAAGCGAAGAGCACCCCGAGATTGCTCAAACGAGGCAGGGGCCAGGGAGTCAGGGCGGGGGTCTCTGCCAGAGCTTTGCAACTTCGCGCTGCTCATGACTGCTCGTGCTGCCCTCTGCTCTCTCTGTCTGGGCCAATGGCGTTTCCGGCGCAAGTGAGGTTGCCGAAGCAGTCGAGGACATAAGTCCCCGGGAAATGGACTCGGTAGGTTTCCAGGGCGAATGGCAGCTGGACCTCCAACAGAAAGGGCGAAGCCGTGCGCCCGTGCCCAAATGCCCCTGCATTTGCGCATCTGCTAACAGCGGATTCAAGCGACACCTTGGCCGGGGCGCCGCGTGCCACGCGGCCCTTCTGCACTTCCCAATAGACCTGCCATGCTGCCACGCCCCCTCCATCACGCCTAGAGTAGCCTTGTACGCGGTGCCAGCGATTTCTACAGCGCCTGGAAAGCGCTGGGCCATTGCGGCAGGCGTGCCGACAAGGAGTCGGAGTCGGAGGTGAAGCGCGTGACCTGCCAGAAGAACCGTCGCAAGAAGCGAAGGCTGACCCATAGGAGCCTCCGTGCTCGGGCTCTCTGCCATCCTCAGATGTGACGCGAGGGCGCCGTGCGCAGCAGTGCGCAGCTACCAGTATGGCATCTAAGGCTAAGGCCGCAGTCGCAGCTCTGCCGCGGGGAAGGGCCAGGCCGAGGTTGGCCCCGTGCCCAGCCGCACCTCGGACAAAAGGAGCACCGAGCGGCTTTCCAGCGCCACTGCGCCACTGCACACTGCACGCCGGATACGCCGGGTGCCCGGGCCAGGACGCCCCCTTGAAGAAGGGACTCTCTCACCAGGACCTGCGCCCCAAAAACAGCACTTCACTCACTTCACCTCCTTTAAGAGTCTTTGGCGAGAACTAGCGTCAAACGCCTGGACACTCCGGCTGGGGAGGCAAAGCCTCGCCGAGCAGCACCTACAGTCCGCAGCAGTTCACTTGCAGGGTGCAGTGTTCTCCGCCCGCGCCACTCTGCAACTCTCAAAGACCCTTTCCGGGTGCTTTGCCTGGAATCGCAGCCGTCGGCTGCAGGCAGCGTCTGATGGGACAGCCGACCCTGGCCTCAGACTTTCAGACTTGGAGCGGCTCCGCAGCGACGGAAAAAGCCGCCGACCACCGAAGCGGGCTTCATCCGAATTCAGCCTTAGAGACGCTTTCAACCAGCAGGATCCCAAGAAGGTGTCCTTAAGTTCGTCAGGGGCAGTGGGGTCTCATGGAGTTCCTTCACCAAGGCCGAGGGGCACCACTCGGAGGTTTTCCTTCCAAGGATGGCCCACGCGGTACTCCTGGCGAGCGTTTTCTCCCTTAAAGCACAGCCTCCTCTCTCTCGATCTCTCTGTCCGTCTGTCTGCCTGTCTGTCTGCCTGTCTCTCTGTCTGTCTCTCTCTCTCTCTCTCTCTCTCTCTCTCTCTCTCTCTCCACGGGGCATAGGGGCAGGTCAATGCCCCCGGGCGCCAGGCCCACCCAATGTTTTATTGGGCGCAGGGGTGTGAGAAAA